TGTTTATAACTTTATTACTTTCCTATCTATATGAGTAAAGTGTATAAAGGAGACTACTTTCCTGTAGTCTCTCCTCAGAGCTCTCAGTTCCCTTTCCTTTACTAGTACTAGTCCTCCTCAAGCATAGAGCTTTAGAGTATTAGCTCTGGCTCTTTACTAGCTTTAATGGTCCTTTGTCTTTGTATAAAGCATTCCTAGCTAGCTATGTAGTTTCTCCCTAAGTAAGTATAATATTTTCCTTTTATCTCTTCAGGTTTTCTCCTAGTCTTTTCCTTTATACTTCTTACTCTAGACACTATACTCTTTCCAGATCCCCTCTCTATACAAGCATTCTAAATGACTTGTCTTTGATTGAGGTTATTAAGTAATACTGTGTTAGAGTATGTGTTTAACCTTAGAGAGATAAAGACCTTGTTCTCAGGTTTTGTTACCTTTTCCTAACTGACTTAGTACCTACTCCTTCCTGTCCCCTCTCTCTACTAATAGATTGATTACTCATTAGTAATGATTAGAGGTTAATAATGCTGAGCTAGAGTTCTTACTAAGCAGGACAATAAAGGTAGCCTAGTTGATCTGGCCAATCTTTAGACTTGTAACTAATAGGGTTTTGTATATAAACTACTTAGTTCCAAGTCTTGAGTTAAGCTTTTCCAAACTTAGTTACTGTATTTTACAATTCCTAACAGTATGTCTTCTGTAAGCTGTATGATAGTACTGTGTCATAAATGTTTCATAGTGATCACACTAGACAAAGAGGTGTATCATGTTTGAACATTTGACCATTAGTAGTAATAACTACAAACATTATAGTAGACTGAGTTCTTCTAGGTACTCTACCTGTCTCAAATCATTCTTTAAATATAATTGAATCCTATACTTTACAGGGGAAATCACTCAAGCATCCTACCAATTTAATTTATTTTCTAGTACATTACTCAAGTTCCCTAATAAATACTGTATCTAAGTAGATCCAGAATTGATATGCTAGTATTATTAGGGTAATATTATATATATTCAGTAAGTAGAGCACATATTTGTGATTACATTCCTAATAGCTAATTACTGTAATCAGTAACAGAACTAAATGTGAATTCAAGTAGTTTGTGAGTAGACATAGTGTAGGAGAGGGCTTTCTTTAGCAATTTTATCTTATACAGTTTACAAATGTAAGGAAAATGACTGTATAATACAGACTTACATCTTTTTACCAAACTTTTTAGGTAAATACTCTGGTTAGGTATTCAATATCTCTAGTAAGTTACAAAGCCATAAAGTCATAAGCTACACTAATAAGCCAAATAGACTAGATTATCATATTATTACACAACTGTAATCCTCTATATACCTTTTCTCATTTAGCAGTTTTACTAACTGTTTATATGCAGATATTCTCACAACCTGAGTCCTAACCCTATACTTGCACTGTATGTAGTATTTTCTTGAGAATCCTCTAGTACTAACTGTGTTATAGCAAAATTACTTTCAACATGTCTTATAACCCTTCTCAGTTTAGAGGCAATTACTAAATTAGGCATTAGTTTCTATACAATGTAAGTACAGTACAGTAAGCCAGTTACAGTCCTTTAACTGAGAATAAGATGTCTTACTAGACACAGTCTCTAGTAGGTGGCAGAGAATACTTCTACCTACTATGTGAATTTGACAGTAATGATTATTGACTAGTATGAGTTTGCTCATTATTAGAAAGTTGGAGATTGACATAATGTAGGTCTGTTCTAATAGTGTACAGGTTGGTCCTTATGTTACTTGCATTGTATAAAGCTGCAGAATACTGGAAAATGTTAGCCAGTCTTAAAGGTTTCAAGCTTGTGCAAATTCTTATCCACAATCAGATAATATATTTCCTACTGTAAGCTGTGAAAGCACAATACTGGTGACAACTACTGACTGATTCACTGAATAGTGTAGTATCATACTGTGTTTTAAACCTTATGGAAGTTAAGCTGGATCCAACCAACACCAATTTAGCAGTTCTCCTTGAACAGGCTGGAAGTCTATCATTCCTATGTATTCTGAGCAGCCAACTATTCTTTAACATGAAGGAAGCTGGAAAACTGGGAGTCAACAAGGGCACAAACTATCATAATGAATCATTGAGTAACATTGAATTTGAACAACCCAGGCCTGCTGGAAATGAAGGTAATGTTTGATATTATATACAAAGTTTTAGCATACTTACCTTCTTGTAGTTAGTACTAGCAATATGATGGTGGCTGAGGGCATGTAGAGGTAATAGGCACTAGCTCTGTATAAACAGTCACATATTCTGTTGAGAGTCAAATCAAGTTTTGTCATAGTTCTGGAGAAGCCAGTACTGGATGTAGTTGGGTTTTATACAGTAGTACTAGTATAACTGTATAACAGGTACTAATGCTTTACTTTAATGTTCCTGTTGACCTACATCACGAAAAATTTGTAACACTTGTTATTGATTGTAGTAAAAGGAATAGGATAAAATGATTTTATAAGTATAACAATTTAAATTAATAATTATATTTACTTGTAATACAATACTAATGATTATATATAAATGTAAGAAATATACAAGGTTTTTACTAAACTACAAGCATGTTTTAAAGCAAGTAAGCTTACTAATAGTATTATTATAATATTACATGTAAGGTACAAGTACTCAACTCTCATTATAACTCATTAAAATTATATTATAAGTTATTTGTAACAATAGATGATTGATTATAATAGTTATAAAAGTAATACATTGTACTTGTAAGTTAATTACAATACTTTTAGTAAGATAATATACAATTATATACATTAATATTGTTAACAATCACTATGTTAAACTTATAATATAACTTGATTTTACTTTAAACAATATATTGAAGTGATTACATAATCTAGTACTGAAGATTGAGAGCATATAATGATACACTTGCTCTTGTTACTCCTTTCCTCCTACCTTCACCATCTCCCTAATCCTCTTCCCCTAATACTATGTTGTTTCTTTTGTTCTCTCCAGTCCAGTCCTCTACCTACAAGTATCCTCTAGTAGGCACACTGCCTACAACCACCTAGACAATAAACCTAACTGTATTTGTCTCTCTAATCTGCTACTATAATGCCTGTACTGAGCCTTATATTCAGTGACAACACAGCCAAGCTGGCTACACCATCCTTTAGTGTAAAGTGTAAGTAGCCAGTCCACTTCATAATAATTCACACAATACTTGCTTATCCCTCTCATCCCAACTTCTGGTCTCCCTTTCATGCCTCCTGCTCCTCACTCTACCTCTTACATTGCCTCTCCTTTGTTGTCCTCCTTTTTATTATACATGCCTTCTTTTTTGCATTTGTATTCACACATTTGCATTTGTACATTTGCATTGTTAACTAATACTGAACAACTTCTCCAATAATTCTATACATTTGCATACTTCTTCCTGCTCAGTAACACAAGCAACAATTGGTGAGTACACACTTGTAACAATGTTTATATATGACCACTCCTCAGGCACAATCCTCTCTCTGACCCCCCACACACTCTCCTTCCCTACCTACTATCCTAAGCTTAACATCACCCTTAATAGGCCTATACTGTGTGCATTTATATTCCCTAGTACCATCCATAACACAATTTTGAATAACAGAAGTAGTAGCCACCACTCATCTCTCCTGAGCTGAGTCTGTCTGTACTACCAACTTTATCCTCTCCCTTTAAGCCAGAACGTCCCAGAGATACACCTTTGAAGTCATCTGCAACTATTACTGAGCTCACTGTGCCTCTGATTGTACATTGTGTCATAGCTAGAACATGTAACATACTTATACAGACACACTTTCCCCTGTAGCCCAAATTAGCTTATTCAACACTCCAGATTTCCAACTCAGGTGACCCATCCACACTTGCTACACACTGTTACAGTGCATCCATCTTTTCTCTCTTATTGTCACTTGCTAATCACTCTAAACTTGTCTTACAGGCATAGCCTTAATCTCCACAACCTGTTCAAGCTCAATTCACACACACTTGTAATTCAACTTGTAGGGACTGAGCAACAACCAAAACATAGTGACAAAGAGTATTTTGAACAGCCTGAGAATGCATTCATCCTTTTCCAACACAGATCCTACTTGCAGAAGAATGAGGCAGAGGCAGCTAGTAGTGTAGGGGTTGGGATTGTAGAAATAATGTATTATTTACTATTTTGTATTCTATAATTTAAATATAATTATATTTGATTAATTATTCAATACAAAATTGTATACTAAGCAAAAGCAAGCTATTCAAACACTTGTAATGACTATTAAGCATTATAAGCAGATATTATACTTTCACAAATTAATAAGTATGTCTTAGTCTTGTAATCTCAGGAAGTACATTATAATCACTTGTATAACTTGACAATTTATATTATTATAATAGAAATTGCCAAGTTTTACAAGTATTCTTACTTACTTATCTAACATTGTACTATCATTGCTTAACCCCCCAGGAAGATTAAATGCCATTAGACAAAATTTATAAAATATACAAAATATATGGGATAACAAGCAAGTACAATACTTAAGACTTTTTCATAATGTAGTATAGTATGGTAGAGTACAGTATAGAATAAAAACCTTGCACTGCACAACCCGAGTACTACTAAATCATTAGCAGACAACATTAGTGCTCTCTCAACTTTACCAACTACAGGAACAGGTACCCAAATTAAAAATCGAAAATAGTAAATATTACACAAAAGTTGCAATGCAGAGAGGTCCGAGAGGGATAGAGTAGAGATTTTCATAATGAATAATGCAATATCACGTAAATCTAATAACACAGACCCTTCCTAGCATTATGCATCATGACAATTTCTACTGTACCTACCAGCGGAGTTTGCGGAGTTCGTTTGTTACCTGAAACGACGCGTTGCGTGCACGTGTACATCACTTTTCGCTTTCACTGCGTTTCTCCTCTTGCGCTGCTTGACCAACTGGCTTAAGCCGGTCTAAAAAAGGACCTTTTCGACACCCTGATTTCTGAGCGGGGACTCTGGGAAGAATGCTCTCAGGTTGGGAATGGAGACCGAGAGGAGCACGCTTGGCCATTGCGGTCCTCTCATGGGTGATCCTCGTCCAAATGGCTGGCCTGTACCTCTTCACGCGTGGTTTCTTGCTCACAAGAATGGCACTATCAGATATAAGTTCTTGTCCGAACGGAGAATGCACGTTGCCAGAGACGCATCAGCGTGTCGTCCTGCTCATCATCGACGCATTGCGTTTTGACTTCGTCTCTCCCAACCCACCTGAACCGCGCTCGCCATTCCATCATGATATTCTCACTCTTCCGAGAGAACTTACGGCAAAGTACCCGGATAGGTCGTTCTTGTTCCATTCGTTCGCGGACCCGCCGACTACGACTCTTCAGCGGATTAAAGGAATTACTACTGGATCGCTGCCAACTTTTGTTGATGTTGGGTCCAGCTTCTCGGGTTATGAAATTGAGGAGGATTCGACAATTAATCAATTGCATATTGCTGGGAGACGGGTGCGTTATTTTATCTTTTGCAGCAATATGGTTTCGTTTAGACACTTGCCGCGGAAATATATACAAAAGACTTTTCGGCTGGTGTCTAGACTGGGTTTTTTACCCTCAATTGTTTGTCGATGTTCGCTAATGAATTTTCAAGATAGCATTCATGGGAGATGACACTTGGATGACAGTATTTCCGACTTTATTTGCACCGAACATGACCTATCCATACGACTCCTTCAACGTCGAGGACCTACATACTGTCGACGAAGGTGTAACTCGTCACCTCTTCCCATTGCTCGAAGAAGAGTCTCCTTCGTGGCACGCCATTGTCGGTCATTTCTTGGGCGTAGATCACGTCGGACATCGAGTCGGTCCTGACCATGCAGTGATGAAAGCAAAGCTATCGCAAATGGATGGCGTATTCCGTCGTGTTGTCGACCTTCTTGCGGACGACACCCTCCTTGTCGTTCTTGGAGACCATGGTATGGACAGGAAAGGCGATCATGGTGGAGATGATGTTTACGAAACTTCGGCTGCTATGTGGATTTATAGCAAAGGCGTTACTTTGCAGGACAGTTCCGATGCACACGCTATACCATCTGCGCTTCTGGATAAGGCTACGTATCCTGGAGCTTCTGTTGAACACCGTTGGATACAGCAGATCGATATCGTCCCGACACTATCTCTCCTCTTAGGCCTTCCGATTCCCTTCAATAATCTCGGATCTGTCATACCAGAACTATTCACCCGATCTTCAATACTCGATAAAGCGATCAAGCTTAATGCCGAACAGGTTCGACGTTATCTTGACGCGTACCGTACTAGCGCATCGGACAGTGAACTCGATGCTCTATGGCCTTCACTTGAAAATATATGGGGCCTTGCTGGGACTGAGTTAGGTCCATACGCATACTTCAAATACATGAGGCGTGTCTTGGAAGAGTGTCGTTCGCTTTGGGCACAGTTTAACGTCGTTCAGATGACTACTGGCCTAGTCGTGCTTGCGCTGTCGGTTGTAACGACGGCAGTCTTGTATTCTCGATTAGGAGGTGTCTCGGATTGGGAGAGTTGGGCAAGCAAGCGTGCCAATAAAGTTGTTCAGGCTTCCACGATGAGTCTGGTTGCCTGTCCTGTCGTATATCTTGCATTATCACGCATCGCTCCCGAGCTGGACTTGTCAGATGTCGTACTAGCAGTTCTGTCCACCATATCTTGCGTAACCCTTTTGCTAGATTCATTACCAGCATTACCACGTCCTTCATTAAATTCACTCCCGATTATCTTAATCCTGCACGCCATAATGTTCTTCTCAAACTCATTCACTTTCTGGGAAGACCGCATCGTTCCATTTCTCCTCATCAGCCTCCTCGTTCTTGCCGTACGCGTTGGGTTCACAGCCGCAGATGAGCGCCTACGTAAACGGATCCTTTTCTTTTCCGCCATTTACGCTATCTGTGTGCGTCTTATAGCGTTCAGCACTGTTTGTCGCGAGGAGCAACAGCCTTACTGCCACGTCACGTTTTACGCCTCGTCTGCGTTATCGGCTTCTCCACTTCTCGCTGTTATCCTCTCGATTCCTGTATCGATCGTATTACCGTCCATATTCCGACGCTTCCTGGCTATCTCGGCGTCAGACAAGGGCCTCGTTCCGAGCTTCCTCTCGTATGTCCTTCGGCCAGCGCTTCTTGCGAGTAGCATACACTGGATCTGCGAATGGCTAGAATCGAAGGACCAATTTGGACCTGAGTGGGCTGGTTCTTTGCGAACAGCCCGTACCGTTATCGCTTGGTGCACATTTGGAGGTGTTTTACTTGGTGGGATGGGTCTTTGGTGGCTCAATCCACTTTGCATAGATATCCGAGTATCTAAACCTTCATCAGCTGAATCAAACGGGAACACGAAGCCGAAAGCTGTCGTGGTTGTAAACTCAAATGCGTATGGAGCTCCCTACTTACTCTTTTGGAGCATTGCTTTTTCGCTTGTCTACCTTGCGACACAACTAACAGGTCAACTCGTCTTGGCACTTTCCACAATCGCTCTTCTCGCGCACCTCGAAATTTCTGATAGCGTACGCGATGCACAGGGTCTCGTCATGGCGTTCTCCGGACCTAAACTATCAGCAGCACTCGAAGCTGAGAATTTCGAAAGCCCACCATTCTCGTTCAGCCAACTCACCCCACTTGCGTTACTCGGACTGCATGCTTTCTATGCTACGGGACACCAAGCAACTATTGCTTCGCTACAATGGAAATCTGCATTTGTGTTTACGAGTACTGTATCCTTCATGTCGCGCGTTTCCGTATTTCTCAACACCCTGGGCCCACAAGCTATACTCGCACTGGCCGCTCCACTCCTCGCGTGTTGGCAAGTCGTCACACTCTCACCATCATCATCTGCACGCCCTATCATCTCGAAATCTCGCATCATGGGCGAATCTGTGCGCGCAAGCATAGGAGTAATGCTCTACTACGGTGTACTACTCCTTACAACCGCAGCGAGTGCAGCGATCTTGAGAAGACATTTGATGGTATGGAAAGTGTTCGCGCCGAGATTCATGGCTGCTGCTTTGGAAGTTGTTGCCGTTGATTTGATTTTGCTTGTTGGTGTGGGGTTTGGTGTTAGTAGGATGTCGAGTTGTGTGTGGAGTTTGCTGCAAAGGAGTGTACAGAAGACCACGTAGAGATTGATTGACTGTATCGTTGGTTTTGGCAAAATAATATTCATACGTTTAATTATTCTTTCATACATTTAGATGAGATAGAACAAAGTGTCAAGGGAAACAGCGACGTTGAAAGCCCTACATGTTTTTGATCTTTTATAACTTTTTTACTTATTTCCACGCTTCGTATTATGTAATATCACTTCTACGGACAGTCGACTTGAGTCGCGCCAGTTCACGTTTCCCGACGACCACTTCCTCAGCATGCTATCACAAAAAGTCTTTTCTTAGATCAAGTCAAGCGCTTGGTAAAAATAAGCTGCTCTCAAGACACGCAAATGGAACCTTCTAAACGTCTAGGAGCCTTAGCTTACCAACAAGGTTACTATAAAATCACCGTGCTGCGAGACGAAGAACGAACTGTTCACCAGTCCTACCAGTCACCTTAGCTCTGACGCTCATCATTATGATATTAAGGCATACCACTCTCAGTGATGCATTTTGCTATAGCACCACCTGATCAAAGAATGGACGTACGCTGCTTTGACAAACGAACAAAGAGGATATACAAAGGCCTTTTTACGCCGACACGTCGTCGCAGTTGTCGTCTTGCTACAATGCCATTTTCTTCCTGTGCTTCATTTTTCCTTTCATTCATTCATGACAAGGTATTTTTAGCTTTAAACGATCTAGTCTACTACATATAAATAGAGGCAGCTAGAACGTATATAATACTGGGACAGGAAAACCACAGCCTGATCCTGCGCCTTCTCCTTCGTTGAGGAGCTGTTACTTGCTTATTGCTTGTTAGTCACTAACGAAGACGTACAAAAATATTCCAATATTTAATGCTAATGTGCCTTAGCTAGGTGTGGTCGGCCCTTGTCTTTCCTCGTTAGCACTGACTCACGCGTTCTTAGGGAAAAACCACAAATTATATACATTCGACAATGATCTACTGAACTAATCGAAGAGTTACCCCTGTAGATCAGTTGGAGGTCCGTCTAAAACAACTATTCCATCTACAATAGATCCAGCTCCTTCCCAACGACGTCGTGGGTCACAATGATGTACCAGCTTGAAGACAGAACCCTCTGCAGATCTCGGATCCTCCGACTCTTCAGACGATTCGTCGCCAGGTCGGGAAGCCCTAGGAAGACGGAGTCATTCAACTCTGTCAACGAGGCCGGAGGAAGGTAACTTACTTGAATTTCTCAACTACAACTTGATTCCATTCAGTGGAATCAGCTTGTTGCTCTTCAGCTCCGCCATCATTAGGCATATTACCTAATTCGAAGACGGAATCGTTCCATATTCCCTCACCAGACCAAGTCAATTGAATGGTATCGAGATGAGGGTAGAGACCTTTCTTGGCATTTTCACCGAGGATTGCGAAAACCATTGCCCTCGCTTGCTCCAGTTTCGGAGTCGTACTCGTAAATCCTTCTCTGTGCCCAACCACATCGAGCTTCACAAGTTGTTTTGGCAGTGGCAATGCTGTCGGAGTGGAATTGTGCCTCTCCATAAAGTATTTTGCATCCAGTCGAAGGACTGACACCGACGGGAAACCGTCGAAAGGCACAGGCACCTGTTCTTCCATCCACTCAGGTAGGAACGTGAAGAGCTCAAGATTTCCTTGAGTTTTTCCCATAGATCTCGGCACATAAACTGACACTTGACGATTTCCAGCTCGCGCAATCCGGGTCCGTCATCTATCTCAGGTAGACTCAATTCTGGATCGTCGAAATAGCATTCGATCAGAGCCAGCCTCCGAAGGTTTCGCATTTGCGGCCACACAAGTGGTTTGCCTTTCTCACTGTTGACCAAGCCGTTCCGAATAGTCAAATCTTCCAGGCGGGGAAAGATGATTTTCTCCTCCGGGAAGAGTGTGCTTTTTGTAAATGCGGACGACTTGATGTCAAGCCTAGTGATGAATTCGCCGTTCCACCACAGAGATGGATGATAATCCTTGTATAGGACATATGACGAGACTTTCTCCCAGTCTAGGTTCGGGCAGAGATCGTACACTGGCTTGAGGAAGTCGTGATTATCCATTTTCTTCCACTCCTCCACACTATCTGCGAAGGCGCGAGTGAATATGAATGAATTCACGAGAGGACGAAGTTCGGGATGGGTCTGTAAAGCCAGTGCGAAAAGCGCAGCATTTTTGCTCGATGTCAGGACCACTTTGTCGTATAAGACGCGGTTCGCTTCCTCGTTCCATGCTGCGTTCACCTTGGCCGCATTGGCGAGAGCTGGTTGAAGGACGGACTTTTGATAGAAAACGGGCGCATGATCGGCACTCTTCTCATCCACGAGATAGTCATGGATCAGGTCGAAAACTAATACGATTACGCTCAAGCCCAGATAATATATACCTATCTTACCACTTACATCTACGAATATTTGATTTAGACGCTATATTTCAGTAAAATATGGGGAGATAGGATAGGAAGTCGGAGAATTCTACTTGTACTGGCCGTTGAGAACTCCTTTTATATTACCAGGAACGGCCACGCAAGAGTATGGTGTCTTGTGTGGAACAGGCTTCTCTCATCGACAGGAGTCGCAATGCGATGGATGCTTTTGTCATATTCTGTTGGGTTGGCCAGACAAAGGCGCCAGTCGAGTTCATAGAATGTCCCGGAACCGGTCCGGAACAGTACCTTATATGGCAAGCTGGTGGCTTCCCTGTCCCGATTTGGTAGATTATGCCTTCTTGGGTATCAAAAGCCGGCCGGTTCTAACGTTGTGGCACTGGTCGCGTCAGAGGGAAACTCTGTAGGTGACCTCTCCCTCCATGACACACTGGACTGACCGATCCGGGCTGCAGTTTCATTACTCTTCATCATTTTCTTTAACAAGACGCATTGGCAACGGATTGCCGGAAATTAGAATGGTCCTAGTATGGTGATGTGTAAGTGGCCCAAGACCGCTTTCTGATAAGGACAGGAGGCCTAGGCAGTGAAATTATCGTGACGAGGCTAAACCATGATAGATCCAAAATCCTATCAGTTTGTGCATGTTGCGAGACATCGTTGCATAGCTTGTGAAGATAGCTGCTCCTGGCTCCGACGGAGCCATTATTGCCACACGTTTCAACAGCACCTGGTCTCTGCAAAGCCTGCACGACCGATTCCATCCATAATCTTTTATCGTGGGGCTCAACAGACGAACAATCACGGAGCAGGAAAAGCATTGGGCTTTAAGATCACTCTGTTCAATTAGCATTGGCTACATTATCCAATATTAAATATGGCAAAGTGTATGGATATGGAACTCGACTTTCTCTTGTACAGTACATTGGACCCGATGACAAAAAAAAACGATCTTTACTATCTGCGTTTACGCTGTCGATGAATTCAAAGGCACGTATCCACTTGCAAATAGTATTATTTTGTTGTGGTACAGTCAGCGAACAACTCTCCTCTCAGGATAATAATCGAGCTATGTCTGAAACTGGATTTTGAAGATCTCACATTGTTAAAATAAAATAAAAAGGAAAAATCCAGAGTTCTAAGTACATAAATTCTAGCTGCTTGCCAACATTTACACTGATTATCAGCTTCAGCCGACAATGCTCATCAATTTATGCAGTGAGGGAATTTTGCAATATATTCTACAGTGGTGAGTACAAGTGAGGATACAAACATGGCTCAGTAACTCGGCCTCGACATAGAACCGTGAAAGGGTCAACTGTACATGTGCCGGGCCTCCTTCACTTGAGCATAGATAATAAGGATTGCGGTCCAGGATCAAAATATGGGAGACATTTTATATAAAGCAGAGTAAAATTTGTCACTTCGTCTAGGAGCTAGACGATTGTAGTCGAGAAATTAACACGAATAGCTACCAAACATGACGAAACGCTTACCGATGTCATATAACGTGCATTCGATTCCGACCTCTTCGGCACACTTAACAACCTCATTGTACTTTTCCAAGTGCTCCTCGGCTACGCTTGCATTCAAACGAATCGTCTCCAACGTTTGATACGCCGTTCCGTCTTTGCGCTGATTTATAACACCCATAACACAATCTAGCGACTCGTGTAAATTCTGACATTCATTAACTGGTATTTCGATAGTGATAAGGTGAATGAGCTGTGGTGGGAGGATGACTGGTGTAAGCCATGTACACGCGAAACAGCGACTTGGGATTCGCAATATGACGAGCGAAGTGAAATGCTGGAGTTGACCATCCTGCGGGGTATTGAAGAAGTATGATGGCGCGAAGGTCAGGAGTTCAAGCGATCCGCCGATGGCTATTAGCTTTTCCCATGGATCGGACACACATAAGCTCCCTCCGATAATCTCCAGTGCACGTAATCCTCCATTCTCCGGACTTGGTGTCGGAAAAGAGATGGATTCAGAGAAAATCGTGCAATTTCTCAGGCAAAGTCTTCTTAGGCGGGGCATATTGGGCCATTCGAATGGTCCGTCGAACGGGGGGCCATAATAATGGTAGTTTTTAACGACGAGGTCCTCAAGGGCGGCGAGGGTAAGATCTGATGTGAAAAAGACATCCATAGACGCTTTCTGAGACTCGACCTCCAACCGCGTAAGCGCATTAATGTCGAAACGTGAAATCCGATGATGATAGCGTTGGCGAGAGCGATCAAGCAGGGCGCTCGGGATGGCACGAGTAGACCAAGCGAAACGTTTCTTCAACGTCTCGGAGTGCAAGTTCGGGCATAGTTCATATACCCTCATAAGATCCCACCAATTGGAAAACCCTTTCCAGTGATTTCCGTCATCGGAATAAACTTGCGTGAAAAAGACAGATTGGGCTAGTGGTCGAAGGTGTTTCCGTTTATACATCGTATGAGAAAATACGGCCAGAGAACGTGTGTTGAATAGGAAGACGTCTTTGTATAGAATCCCGACTGCTGCATCATACCATTGTCTATTTAGGAGACATACGGCAGCCAGAGCGGGCTGGAGGACGGTTTTCGCAAAGTACCAAGGTGCATGATGCGATTCCCGTTCCTCGTCAATCAAAGAAACGATTTCCAATATGATCTCGTCTGGCAATTGTAGGCCCCCGGCGGCATGATAACGCTCTCCACAGCAGTCCAAAGCGCCAGGACGACGTTTCCACGGTGTATGCTGCTTTAGAACACGCTTCATAGTCGTGGACAAAGGACAGCAGAGGTCGTCAGCTTCACTTGTGCGTACCGAAGGCACGGGCAGATATAGGACATAAAGCACAGTAGGACAAGGAACACATATCCTTTGTAAAATAGGAGGCGATGAAACAGGATGCGCGTCCCAATATTAAGTAGTGTTGCCTATCGATTGATGGGCTGTGTCATTGAACGCGTCCAATAGATTCGGAGTTTTAAAGTCTACATTACTTGTCCCGAGATTGCTAATGTACATTCCTATTTAGTATTGTAACAGAGCCTTAACTTGAATTTGTTAAGACATCCAACTATACTTTAGCAGGCTGAATACTGGTCCTCTGCTGTACTATTGAAGGAGTAGGAAAAATTACGTGCTGATTCGGATGATAATATGGTTGCATATTAGGTCCAAATTAAATGTAGTTCAATACAGGAACCTAATATTTGTATCACAGGATGCACAGCCAGATGATGAAATTGCGTCACCAGCATTTTACCAATAAGCCCACAAGCCCACACTGGGCCACAGTTCAAATCGGTTCACGCGTACGTTATTTACGTCACCTTAACAGAGGGTACCTCAAGCTTTGGCTGTTCTCTTAGTTCTCCAACAAGGTCTTCGTAAAACTCCCTCGTCAATCCGGCTTTCTCCCTATCCTCGACATTAAACGGACCCTTTAAACTCCCAGAAAAATGTCGCTTTACTTCCTCCCGGAATGTGCTCACTGGGTCCACACCCTCTTCTTTACACACGAACGTGAACCAACGATGTCCAGCCGTTACATGCGTTAATTCATCATTATGTATGATGTTCAACGCTTTAACGGACTCCTCATCACCTTGTTTGGCGAATTTGGATATGGTGGAAGGGTTGACGTCTAGCCCGCGCGCTTCGTGTACGAGGTGCACGATGGCAAGGCGAGCACGGAGGGAGTGTGCAGTTTCAGTTGCACTGGACCAGAGAGCTGCGTGAATAGGAAGAGAGCCGTAGAATGTAGAGAGGCTATGTAGCCGCGCAAGGAGGAGGGAGAAGTGTTTGGCTTCATCCAATGCGACTTTTGTAAAGTCAGAGAAAAATTGATGAGGCAAGGTGGGGTGTGCAGGACCGAAGCGAGCGATTGCGTCCCAGCTGATTCAGAATTAGTGCTGTGCTCCGGAAATGAATAAAATGTGAGGGCTCACGCAAGGTCAATCCTAATAGAGTTATTAGTCTTACATAGATATGAGATAGTCAAAGTACAGCACCACTCACGCCCATTGCTCAATATTCGCAAGCGCATGCAACATTGCAGGCCTCCCCTTCCTCTTCGCGGCTCGTCCAGGATCAACGAACTTCATCACATCCTCTCTAGGCGGGACATCAGGTGGTTTCGGCGCATCCTTCCCGCGACCTATAGACTTGAGTTTTCCAGAACGAAATAGGCTGACGGCGTGTTTCGTTCGTTCGACTTTAAGTTGGGGATGAGCGGTATTGAGTATAAGAACGGCCCATTCGATGAGTGTTTTTGGAGGGTTCTCGATTGGGACGACGGGTTCTCTGAGTGTAATCAAATCTGGAGTAGACGACTCGATTGAGTTCGTAACCGCCCTTTGCGGCGGAGGATCAGCGAAATCTGAAAAATGGAGTTGAGAAATGAGTTGAGATAATATATAGTCGAACAATGAGATAGGATTTGATGTAGATGTGTCACCTTCTGAAACGGGCCTGAACTCAACAAGGCGCCAGTTCGTCCCTCCTTCAGGAGCTTCGATCCATACCGTATCGTCGATATCATTAGAGGAAGCTTTCTTGATTTCGACTTTGTACACGCAAGCTCGTAGGCCCGTATCACTTTGGCCTGTACGCATGTCGAAGTCATACCTGCATAGGTCGGATAATTACATGTGAGTAATGATACGTGATGTTCAAGTATATCCTACCTGTGCCAAGGACAAACAGCAACTGCGCCAGTCTCGCACTCTTCAATATCTGCATGCGACAGGTCTGCTCCTAGGTGCGGACACGCTGACTCCATGACATAGAGCTGATCAGCAATTGACTCGGATTCCGCGTTTTCAGTTGCGGAGTTTGTCGACAGCCTGAAAAGCAGAAGCGAGCGATATACACCCTCTGCCGACCGGAGAGTTAACAGGTAGCGTGTATGCGATAGGATCTTCGACACAGGGACGATCCTGTATTATTATTTTTAGTCAGGGAATTTTGCAAAAAGAGGGGACGTACTCAATAAAATCCATTTTTATTTCAGATCTTCCAGTTGTGTTTACTAGGACACCTAATCCGTGCCTAAGAGCGGCGAGGACTCTAGTATGTCGTTATCGAAATTATCGAAATTTAAATTTTAGTCCATTAGAGAATGTTCATTTGTAAAAAATGTTCATTTGTTTGGTCACTTTGGCGAGATGAGAAAATGGCGATGATTGAGCCACGTGATCTTACATGACTCAAGCACCAACCTCTCTTTTCCCTTCCCTCTGCTCTAAGCATTAGCTTAACCAATCTTTTCATCCTGCTCCGAGTACCAGTAATACATAGCTCTTATAGAGCTCTTTCTGCAAGACGGGCTATCTCTCAGCGGACCCACGCCACTTGCATTCCTCATTCCGTTGGAAGAAACGTCAGGATGGGCAAGAACAACAAGAAGCGACCGCCGGCTCCTGAAGAGCCCCAGCTCTTCCTGACGGCGATAGAATCCTCAAGGGAACCAATTGTGGATACCCACACGCATCTATTATCCACATTCTCGGCGTATCGCAGTAAATACCCTGCAGGAAAATACAAATCTGTATTTGATTTCGTGCGTGGAGCCTACGAGGGAAAGAACGTAGAAGCCATGGTGGATGTCTATTGTGAAGCACCTGTGCAGTCTCAATGGAGAGAACTGGCAGACTCAGCTATCATGCCAGAGGACAGGATGGAAAAATGGAGCGGGACTGAATATTGGTTTGTTATGGGTAAGTTGCGTCCATATTCGTATACGGTTGGAACATTTAAGCCAAGTTTACAATACAGGTGTACATCCGTAAGCATTGACTTACTTAGCATTGACTTGCAAGTAATGGAGCTACAGGCATGAGGCAAAAGACTATACAGATACAGTGGAAGCAGAGATGTCGGTAATTCTCCGTACCAAGTGATTGCCCGATCGCTGATTTTGTTCAAGATTAGAAGCAATGAATCACCCGCGAAACGTCGGATGGGGAGAGATTGGCCTTGATTATCACTATGATCTTTCGCCACGGGATGTCCAACGACAAGTTTTCGCTCGACAGTTAGAACACGCCGTTCGTTTAGGAAAACCTCTGACAATTCACACGCGCGAGGCAGAGGAGGATACTGAGCGTATTCTGAAAGAGATCGTGCCAAAGGGTCACAAAGTACGTGCCTAATTTCTGGAGATGCTGAAATATGCTGATTTTCGTCAAGATCCACGTTCACTGCTTTACAGACACGCCAGAATTCGCACAGAGGTTACTGGACCACTACCCTAATTTACACATCGGAATTACGGGTTCATATTCTTACTGCGCTCCACTTAATTCAGTTGGCTCATTTGATTGCATTTTTAGGTGTCATAACGTATTCTACGAATACCAATACTTCCGATGTCATTCGCAATCTCGTAAGATCAAACGACGACTCGACATCATCCGGACCCCTACGAATACTACTTGAGACGGATGCCCCCTACATGGTTCCAAATAATATCTACAAGGCGTTCCCAGAACTTAAGAGTGGAACTCGATTTCCAATTTGCCACACTGCGATGATACCATGGACAGCAGACTTTGTTGCAGGTGTCGCAAGTGAGGCTGGCGTGGAGTATGACCGTGACCGCGTGATGCGAGAATCGCGAGAGAACGCTAGGAAGGTGTACGGTGTATAAATGAGAATAAATCATAGAGGTTCGTTCATCTGCTTTGCCCTGATTGTGCGTCATAACATAACTGAGATGGAGAAAGGATCGTAGATTTCGTCAAAGTCAAACATATTCTCAGCGTGCTACAATAAATTAATGTTCGTCCTATTGACATTTGTCTTGAAACTCGGCGTCGGGCGAAATAAAGAGAAAGAGAAGACGAGAGTAGAGAACAGAAAAGAAACAAAAGAATCTGGAAGGCAGAAGAGAAAGGGAATCTATCTATCAAGCAATCCATGCCAACTGATTACTAATAGTAATCATCTCACACATACAACAACTTTGCAGAAACTCGCTGCAAAGGAGGACTCACGCTCAACACCATTCTCGCGTACGTTCAACTTTGCGCGTTTAGATTTTGCTGAAGCCAGAGGGTTCACCAGAGGCGCTGTCGAGGCCACCTGCACTGGAGGACTCGCTGGGAGCAGTGCTTGTGGGTGCGCTGGTGCTTCCGCCGCTTGCTCCTCCTGAGTTGGAACCTAAAACTTCACTGCTCACTGGGTCGCCTACACCGGAGGTAGTGGAACCCATACCGCTTTCGGTGCCAGTGGGAGCACCACTGCCCGTATCAGTGCCCGTACCAGAATCCGTACCGCTTTCGGTACCAGAGGGAGCGCCACTGCCAGTTTCAGACCCCGTACCGCTGTCGGTACTAGAGGGAGCGCCACTGCCGGTTTCAGAGCCCATACCACTGTCAGTATCAGTAGCATTGGCTGGGTTGCCGCTTTCAGAGGCAGAGTCAGTTGGGCCGCCGCTAGCAGTGCTGTTAGAGGAGTCAGAAGGCATCGTGGAGGAGTCAGTCGTATTGGCAGAGCTCGTCGAGTTGTCTCCACCGTATGTCGCGTTGCTGAAGTCGGTGGAGTTCCTAAATTCTCAGTATTCTTATTCCGATTTTTAAGAAAGAACGGAGAAACACCTACCCTTCGATGTCAGAAGTATTGACGATACGCATACCGAAGTTGCCCGAGGAGGTGCCGTTGTCGCCGAATTGGAGGGAGCAGATGATGAGACCGTTATCTGGGCAGCTGAAGTTGGCCATTGCGGTAGCTGCACCACCGCTCAACGGGGTACCAGTCGTTGGGTCCTGTCACCATCGTATTGTATGTCAGAAGACGATTTTCAGGTTCACAACAAACTCAAAACGGTACTCACTATTACCATAATTCTATCAAGGGCAGTCGCATCGCCGGCCGTGCATCCAGAAGAGTCAGTAGCCTGGCATGTCAAGCTGTCAACATCGTCCGGAGTCAGTCAGTAATCAATCCATTTCTAGAAGAACGGGATAACTTACTTGGCTTCAGGCTGGCAAGTGAAGAGCTCAATAGCCCAAGGACCCGAGAGGGGACCCTTTGCGCTGCACCCGATTTCGCCTGAGATCTCCTGCACCTGGCGCTTGGAATGACCAGCGGTGAGGTCGATAATGGAGGACGCGGACGCTGCTGCAGCAGCACTTGCGACAGAGGCACTCCCCAGGAGCGCAATAACGCTAATCAATGCTGGTTTGAAGTACATTTCTTCTGTTTTACGTGGGTAAGTTCAAGTACGAGTCGAGGATCTGAAAAGTTATCTAGACGAATTGCTTAGCTATGCGGTGCGTAACGGACGAGACCTCGACTCTGCTAGAGAATGCAGATACTGCAGCAGCAAGAAACGGGGAGAAACGCAATTGAAACCCTTCACGCATCGCTGGTCCTATAAATGCTTCTGCATGTGCATAGTATGCATCTACAAACAATACACATGAGAAGCGGGTAATATGCGCTTCGTCTTCCATCGCCAGTATGCGTCACCGACGAGGTTCAATATGCTCGTCCTGCTGGAATTGGAGAACTCGGATGCAAAGCAAATAGTTTGATGTGACGGGTGCCGAAGCCGATGTCTGCAGATGGAGGGAGGGAGGAGAGGGAGGTGCAAACAAGGATTATGTTGGGGTTCACTTTGCGGACACCGCACGTGAGGAGCTTTCAAGCAATGATTGGTCGTTTCCCTCTTATCTGCTCTGCTCTGCTTTCCAGTAGGACAGATGATACGCGAAGTAGTAGAGATGGGGGAAAGGATGTCAAGTATGGAGGCCTTACATAACATTGCACTTGGGAGATTAACAACTTTGCGATTCTGGGTCTGACTCTGACATTCGTTCTCACGCTTCAGGCTGCTCATTTGCATGAATCCTCTCTCGGTCGAGACTCATTTGCTCCACTGAGGGAAATCGGTAATTAAGAAAACACGAAAGGTATAATTAAACATGTCTACGAAAGGGGATTTTAAAATCGTACAAGGGTGAGGTTAACTACGTCTACCACGCTATATAATCCAATCAACTATCCGACCCCAACGACGGCCCAGCCGGTCATTCATGTAAGCAAAGTAACGAAAAGTCGAATAATCGATGTTCTACATACCCTCTTTCTCCCGAACCCAACGAGGGTACGCACAAGAGAGGATGGGCATTAGTGTGAATAATTTAACAGTCATCGTATTCATCGTTTCCACCCTGTGTACCATTACCACTATTGCCCGGGCTGTTCGCACTTTGAGTACTATTACCATTCCCATTTTGCCCCTGGCTCGTGCTCTGCGCGCCATTCCCACTGCTTCCGCTGCCTTGCCCTTGTTGACCACCTCCGCCGCTTGGGACGATCTTCAATCTGTAGTGGCTGGCCTTGGCTTTGCCTTGTGTGGTGAATACTACGGCACAAGAGACCATTCCTGTTTGTGGACAAGTAAAAGGTGCCTTGGCGACGCTTGCAGAACCTCCGAGTGGTTGGGCATTTGACGGGTCCTGATATTAATATTCACATATCTCAGAATTGCTCTATGTTAAGAACTTAAGAGATAAGTTACTCACGCGAACTACCAGAGACTCAATGTTGCTCGGGTCTCCTGGATCGCATCCCGTGCTGTCAGTCGCAATACATGTGTAACTGTTCGTTTGTTGTAATGCGACCAGAGAATTTCAGTTTTCCTCAAACATAACAAAACGGGATTGGTAAGAGAGGAAATGGAAACGTACCTCACACCTGGCTTGCAGTTCCCAAAAGCAACAGTGTTCGTTGTACTAAGTGGTCCATAGGCTTTACATTTCATCCCATGCGATCCGTGTGCGGATACTGAGAGTGCTGCGAAGAGGGCAAGGAAGGTCCAGGCGAGCATGTTCATAGGTCTTGACATATTTCAGATGAAGTGAAGCGGAAATGGAGTTAAGTATATTTCCGAGGTGATTAGTTGATTAGTGCCTTGTTCAGGTGGGTTGACGAGAAACGCAGAGATAGACAGAGAACAAGGAGAGTATGCAAGGTGCACTGTGCAGCACTAAAGAAGCCTCAAGATACCGTTAATAGACCTTTATAATGCAACAATGCACAACGGCAAGTCCAGGGTTACTATGTGTTCCTGGCCAAGGGAATCCGCTTTGCACTAAAGTCTGGTGGAGCGTAAGCGAAACCTGACGGGCATCAAAAATGCGCCTTATACAAAAAAGCAAAGTCGGGTGTCTGTGAGCTATGAGCGATTCGAGAATCACAACTTGTGGCTACTCTTAAGACGCCATTTGCAAGTAAACGATGTACACGAGCTAAATGATCAGGAAAGGAATCTACAGTCAAATGAGTAATGGATCATAAGGTGTGTGGAGGATGGATCACACAACTATATGGTCACTAACACCAGAGTCCATCAATGTTCGCTGGTATCCTCCTATATTGCTTATATCCCAAGGCTCTGTCTATGCCATCCTAAGGGCCCTGAACACATCCGCTCCACCCCCGCCATTTTCTAATCCTTTTACAACTGCTAATCTCACCGCACGCAAATAATTCTCCAACCTCTCCGCTCCACCCTGCGCGATGAAGTCTTCGTAGATCCCGTATCGCGAGTCCGCGACGATGTTTGCGAGAGTGAATGTGTGTTTCAGGTTCCTATTTGGTACATACGAGTGTGGACATGAGAAGGAGATATAAGACGGAGGACGAAAGGAGACGTACTGAGGAATTCGATCTCCTGACTCAACTAGTAACATGTGTAGTCGGATGACGAGGTCTGGGATGTATATCCTGCGTATGCGAACGAGAGTGACCTTCCGTTGATCCTCTGGTTCATAGACGACGCAATCAGAATGAAGCGTGGCGAGTGTGAATTATTAAACCTCATTCAACAAGAAGCACTCACGAGTATGACTCCCCTCCACCTCTTCTTCGTTCACGAGCCATTCGGTTTTTAAAAGCTCGACGATCTGCTCCCGTATGTTATCCAGAAGGCCCTACCGATAGTCAAATAGCATAAATAAGCACAATTCTCAACAAAACAATCAAATAAGAATGACAGGAAGTCACATACAGAATAGCTAGCCAACCAAGCTTCCTTCGCACCCCTGGTCGAACACCCAGACTCCGCCTCCTGCAACTCGGCAATACGGTCGAACAAGTCCCAAATCGCAAAGAATTGGAAGTAGTGGAGGTATTCAGTACTATGCATCCGAGAGCGCATATCGTTAACAGGGAGTGATTGAAGTTGCGACGGAAGCATTCTTAGTAGGATCCGTGCTGCTTGGACTTTCCCACATCCTAAGAAATATCGGAAAATAGCATTCGCCTGCTCAAGAGCATCACGGTACGTCTGTTCTTGGAATGTCGTCCACTCTATAGACCGAATAAGGAACAGTTCCATATCCGACAATTCCGATTCAAGAGCGAGAACAGGTGACAAAGCCTTCTTCATACGTGGTAGCTCCTATTCATCATATTGTCCATTCATTAATACGCAAGACAGAGAGATATGAATGGATAAAGGAAATAGTAAAATGAGGAACGTACCTCGAAAGCCTTATCGAGCGTTTTCTCAGCAGTGACCTGCGCAACGCGGATAATATCTAACCCATGCCTCTCAGCACGCCTTAAGGTTTGTCGTCGATCGTTAACGTCGACAGAGAGGTCCAGACTTGTGAGGAACAAAGCGTATCGCTCGACAGCGTTTTCGCCTAATGCACTTGCGTATAAGGCAATGTGTTCTCGTTGGCCTGCTTCCTGAAAAAAAAACGGATGAGGTTTTGAATGTGCTCGGATTGGATACGCGGAACAGTCAAATATAACATACCTCTAAGACCTGCAAATAGACCTCGAGGATGGCTTGCGTTGCATCTGCGGGTACGGGCATGTCGATCATTCGAAGGAAGAGGCACAGGTGTGCGAAGAATCGCGTTAAGGTCGGGAAACTTTTCATCCTTCAGTGAGCAAATGCAAGTACGAAAAAATCCTAAATAGACGAACTTTGGTTGTCCAGGATTAAACTCTCCCGTCTGAATTCCGGAAGCGAAGTCCGAAAGAAGTTTGTCAGTTTGATTAAGTATGATGTGAAGCTGCGAAACATGGAATGGGTCCGATGCGGGTGGTCTAATAAGTTTATCAGTTACACTCAACTCAAGAAGAAGCCAGAGACGCGTGAATAGCCTACCCTTCTGCTACACCAACATTCGAAAGTGCCTTAAGTGCACTGACAACCTCCTTTTCCCACTCCCTTTCCTCTGCCTCCTCTTCTTCTCTTTCCCTTTGTTGCAGCACTGGAGAAGAAGTGAGAGTGCTCTCTGCAGCAATTCGCTCTACGGCTTCAACTCCGCCTTCCCAATATCCACCTCCTCCGCCAGCGCGTGAGAGAGCGTCAACTTGCTTGCCTTCGCAGACTATGCTAACTTGGGCCCAGAGGTGATCATGCCATGTTCGGCATGCAGATTTGAGTACCACGGATGTTGCAGGGGATGGTGCGAGCGCAGCGTGCAGAGCTCGGTCTGGTTCTGAGAGAAGGGGCTATACCAGATATTTTGAGTTAAGGAATAAAACAATTGAACAGAAAACCTACGTTTAAGGCAGCTCGTGTGACTGTCGCCTTCCATAAATTTCTCCTCTTATTTCCCGACCAACCATCGGAGAAACTCGCGTCTTCGTGATCCTGCGACTGATCTTCAAGCGCTTTCCATTCGAAAAGTAATGATCCACGAATGCTAGCGGCCCGCCACGGCCTCTTCGCTCTTCTACATAAATCAACCGCCTCGTCCAACCTCCCAGCGCGTACGTACGCGTATAGCGCTTGCGCTAGTGCCTTTTCGTAGTTCTGTTTTTTGTTTTGTTTTTTGGTTCAATTAAAATTCGCGAGTGAACATACGGAAAGTCAAAGACGTACAGCATCATCAGCATCCAGGACTCTCTTTCCTCCACTTTCCTCCTCATCCTCTCTATTGATTGCATCAGGATCCATCTCCTTTACGAGGCTTTCTACATCCTTCTTGTCACCTGTCCTCTGTGCATGCTGCAATCTCAATTTTGTAAACCTCCAATACCCTAATGCATCCTCCGGTGCACGGACAGGGGGAGCATTGTCATGCAACCATTCCCGTACAATAACGAGCTCGTTGAGGAGTGGTGAGTGTAGGAGGATTGATTGCGCGAGGGTTGACGTTGGTGTATAAGGATTTCTTCGTAGAAGGGATTTTGCGGAGGGAGGGAGGGTTGGCTCAGTAGTACGCACCCTAAGTGAGGTGTAAGATTTTTAATTTAAGCAGAGGAAGACGATTGTTAAGTGAGCTACGCACGCCATAAGTAACTGAACTAAATCCCATGTATTACTTTCCAAACGCAACATTTCACCGTCCTCCAGCGTGGTACCGTTCTCCATCAATTCGTCAATACTTCGGGTTCCAAACGAAGAGCAATTCATTAATAGTTTAGTTTAAAATACTAAAGAAAAAATAGCAAGTGTTGATAAGACACACCGTTTCCTACACATCGCACTCAACTTGGGTGCAAACCCGGTCTTGGGATCAAGCAACGCTGCAAGGTCGTCACGCGTCGCATGAGATGCTGCAAGCACCTCTGCTGCCTGGGCATATAGGTTTGTTGTATCCATTGTACCCCTTGGCTGTTGTATAATTCGAGGATAAAATGTCGAGGCGGACGTGTCTGGAGGCTACAGTACAGTAACAGTTGAAAGCGAATTCGACTGTATTGTAGACGTATTTGGTAATACATTCGTGGGAATTGACGCGTCGCGTTTACAACCCTCTTCATCCACCATATTACGATGACGTAAGGAATCGTCCGTTGCAAAGATGAAAAAAATCTATTTCTTCAGATATCACTTACAGTGCCAATCTTTATAGATATAAAGTTGTCTTCTAAAAAGTTTTGATATGTACAAAGATAACTGAGAGAATTCAATTATGCATTCAAGAGTTATTACACAATTTGTTGTCATATTGGTGGAGCACACTACAAAAACTACATCCACCCAGTGTACACAATAATAATAAAAGTAAGAGGAACAGGGGTATAGAGGAAAATATATAGGAGGTTACTTGTATCACATCAAGTCTAAGAGAACCCAGCCTAGGAAGGGGTACAGCCAGCCTGACCAGGAGTCTTGTAAGATTCAACTGTACTGTCCCAGCCCCTAGCCTATACTGAGGGTACATCTCAAAGTCTTTAGCCTATAAGCATTACTCCATACACAAGACAATCCTCCTTCCTAGAGAAAGTCTGGAACACAAAGAGTATACAAGTACTTGAAAGGAAAAAAAGAAGTGTGTATATAGGACATTAACAGATATTGGCCACAATCAAAGTTGATCAGGTGTCTGTCAAAGGGGTAGACTAGTACTGAAAGTCAGTACAGCTAGTGGGTGTTCTGCCTATAACTAGGCATTGCTAGGACTGTGTTAACCAACACATTACAGTTGCAGACCCCCCCTACTCTATCATTAGGAAAAAGTTGTATTTCTTATAATATATTGTAGACTTTGTAAAGTAACATAAGTATTGTATGTATATTGTAAAGTAATTACAAGACTTGCAAATCAATTGTAAAGTTTGTATAAGACATGTTGATGTATATAAAGGCTAAGTAAGTGTTATGGATGAATACAATCTATTACAAGTATTATACTAACTTTGTATGATAGTCTAAAGTATTATGCTTGTATTACATTTTAATTATAATTTCAAAGAAAGAATTATATTTATAATATAATAATGTAACAATAACTATTGTTACCTTATAATTTATGTAAAAGGTATATTAATGTATATAATAGTGTAAGAGCACTTGTTATATTATTATTATCTTAATAAAAGTATACTATAAGTATATAATATGTATATTATACTTAGACTATTTATACAAATAGTTTACAATATTTGTAAAAAAATATTTCATCTACTTGTAATAATCACATCAGTGTGTTTAGAAAGCTATATACATGTCATATTACTTTTTACTATATTACAAAGTAGATCAATAATTTTATTTTATACCTAAATACAATAATTGAATTGAAATGTTCTATCAGTTGACAACTAATATTATAGTTGCTTATGTAATCAACTGCTGAAGATT